CAATGGACCCCTTATTCCAGATTGTTGTCTTACATATAATGCTTAATCAAATCTTTCTTTTATACAGTTCTCCCCCTAATCTGACTTAAAGCAGTGTTCATTACTTATCCACTCTTTTCTCACTCTCTCTCCAGATGCTCCATGTCTGTCCTATTTTACGCACTATTTGTCCTTCTGTGATTGAGATATTTTATTCATCATAATGTCCTCCAGATGTTGTGTAATGTTTTATGAATTCATTGTTTTTCAATGCTGTGCTATTGCACATTGTGTAAATGTATCGTAGTTTTTCTATCCATCTGTTTGTTGATGGGCACTTGAGTTGTTTCCATCTCTTTGCGGCAGCAATAAACATGGGTGTGCAAACATCGTTTTGAGTGGCTCTGGTTTCTTTAGTGTGTATTTCTAGTAGTAGTAGTGAAATTATTGGGTATTTCTATATCCAACTTTTTGAAAAAGTGCCAGGTCATCTTCCACAGTGGCTATTCAATTTTACACTCCCACCAGTAGTGAATAAGAGTTCCAATCTCTCCACAATCTCGCCAGCATTTGTTGTTAGGTGGCCTGTTGAAATTTTGCTATTGCTTCTGGAGTTGTTGCTTAATTCTTGAACAAGATGATAAAAAAATATATACAGGTAGTCCCTGAGTAAATGATACATTCAAGTGATGACAAAACAATTGTCTATTTTGAGGTATATCTTACTGTCAGTAACATATACTACAATGTTCTAGTATGTAATTTGCTGATGTCATCATATCTGTAGGTTTATACGTAATTTTTTTGAACTCTTGGAGGCAAGTAAAGGCATTAATAATCAAAGCCAGAAAAACATGTAAGAAGAACTAATGATGAGGCCACTAGAATGGAATCTCATTGAAAGACAGGAGCTACTTATTAATAATTATCTCCTTTTTGAATCTTATCTCATACTTAATGTGAAGCAGGCAACATGAAAAAAACATGGACAACAAAGGGCCTCAAACACACATGCTGTTGTTACTACTGTGTAATGCCGAGTCAGAACTGACTCATAGCTGGCTCTCTGGTGGGTTTTCAGATTGCATAGGAGGTGAATGACCATCGTTCTTCTACGGAGCAGCTGGTGGATTCCAATTGCACAATTTTGTGTCAGCAGTGCAGTTCCTTACTACTAAGCCACCAGAGCTCCCTTCCACTCTTACTCTAATGTTGTTTTGCGGTATGGATTGGACAAGATAATATACTTATTTTAGTACAACAAATAAATGCTAGCTCTCTACCATCTCTTTTCCTCTAAGTGGTGTTATTAGAGATGTCAAGTAATGCAGGACTGTGATTTCTGCCTTTATATTTATGTCATAAGATCCATCCTTTCCTAGGACTAAAACTAAGGACTATAAACTTCATTAAAGAAAAGCTTGGAAGAACTCTAGAAGTCCTAGTCAACAACATAAACAGTCTTCCAAGTATCCTGAAAAATCTACAACTAGGATAAGGTAAAATAGATGAATGGGAACTTCTAAGAATCAAATCCCTATGCACATCCAAAAACTTCTCCAACAGGGTAAAAAGGGAAGCCACAGTC